CTTTTCCTCATCTCTGCATTATACTCTTTCTTCTTTTTTTTTTTTTTTTTTCATCGTCACCTGAGGACGTGCTTACTGATTTTTAGAGAGAGGGGGGAGAGAGGGGAAAGAAACATCGATACGAGAGAGAAACATAGTTCGGGTATCTCTCCCCATGTGCCCTGACCTTGGAGCAAACTCACAACCCAGGCACGTGCTCTGACTGGAAATTGAACCCACAACCATTAAGAATCCCAGAACAACCACTCCGTTTACAGGATGATGATCCAACCAAGTCCCACAAGCCAGGGCTTTGTGTTATACTCCTGAAACAATTATAAGGAGGGAACCAAATGGATACAAACTTCACAGTGGAAGGAGAAGATGAGAAGAGAATATGATTCACTCTGTTAACAGCATATCAGTGTGCAGTGTTGTTTTAACATCCTTTAGCTTTTCAAATTGTTGTAGAGTATTTTCTCTAACTTAATCTCAATCATTCCATAAGATTCTGAGAACAGAAGACTTGTAAAGAAAATTGAGAAGGGTGGAAGCAAGGGAGGAAGGTGGGATTGGCTGGGGGTAGGGTGGAGGGGTGGGGGGGAAATGCAGAGAACTGTAATTGAACAACATTAAGGAATTGAATGAATGAATGAATGAAATTTAACAGAACAGGATTTACCATTTCCCTTACTTATATTGGAACATATATTTTCATTTTAATCTGTATTTCAGATTTCAAAAGAGCAAGGCCTTGAAGTTCTACCAGAACATGATCCAATACGTGATCAAAGTTGGTATGTGAATAAAAAGCTCCGTCAAAGACTGTTTGAGGAATATGGAGTCAGAACCTGCACTCTTGTTCAGTTCCTTGGTGATGCCATTATTTTACCAGCAGGAACACTTCATCAGGTACATAAAAACTTATAACTTGTTTGAACATCAGTCATATTTCCATTTTTGCATTGTCTCTGATTTAGTGGGTTGAAATCTAATTTTTAAGACTTTGTGGGGGGGTGGTAGGTACAGCAAGTCCTCAAGTAATGTTTCAGTATGCCATAGGAATTTAACTCTTGTTTCTATCAGTTAGCCTCTGGTAAAATCAGCTTCATTGTATATGGTTTTGCTGAAAATCATAGAACCTATTGACAACATTAAGTGAGGACTTACTGTATTACATATGCAGTTCTCCATTGTTGAAAACTTTCCATGGGAGGGGGTATATTAAGAGTTCAAGATCATACATTTTCTAACACACTTAAGTGTGAGTAGAATGAACTATTGCTAGACCATTTCAAAACTCAGGCTTTCAGTGTACCTCTTACCTATAAGTGTTGATCCAGAAAACTTAAAAACTAAAATAAACACCTCATCTTTGTTTCTGTGGCTTGACTCTGTAACACCTAGAACAGTACAATTAGATGGTGAGTGTGGAGGCTGGGGTTAAAGCATCAAAAAGACTCCTAGAATTAACCAGAGCTACCACAGATCAACTCAGGCCAGGCAGTACCAAAGCATACAAACGAAACCCAAGAACCCAAAAAGCTAGTCTGCCTCAAACTGGATTCCATACCTCTTCTACTGCCTGATAATTGAGGTGTATGTCATGTGCACTTTGACCAAGGAAAGTTTCCCACACTTCCTATAACTATATATGCAATTACTGTCTGTTTAGCATTTGGGACACTATTATAATAATAGCACAAACATTCTTTAAGTTGTAATAGTTGCTTAGTTTTTAAGATGTCGGGTTTAGGGTTAGGATTATCATTGTGTTTCTCAAATAGCATTTATGATAGTGGAATATAACAGTATAATAAGTACATACCAGCTTTTTCTCTACGTTAACTTTCTGGGGAAGTATATTAAATACCTTCATTAACATATTATGTTAAATTGTTTTATTTTCCCATGGACTTGCATGATTATCTCAGGCATGTTGGATCATTTATGATTCGGGTTTAATTGTGATTTACCCCACATATAATTTTGTTGACTTGTTGCTTCTTATCAGAAAACTGTGAATCTGTATCTAAATGGAATATGCCCTGCAAGGAGTGGCCTATTTAAGAGAACAGTTCAGTAAATCTTTTTATAAATAGAAATAATTCTTTGATAATACAAGTTGTCTTGAAAATTCCTACTCACATGTTCAGTTCAGTTTATCCATTATCCATTTTCTCAGTGTTGAACTGGATGATGCAGGTTGGTCTGCTTTTTTCTTCTTCCTTTCCTTTCCTTTTTGCATGCACTAAAATACACCCTTATTTAGTACACGGTTCGGTAAGTTTTGACAGGTGGTTAGGTGACAACACAATTAAAACACAGGACACTTCCATCAGTCCAGGAAACTGCCTCCTGCACCTTTTTAGTCAACTTCTCTCCCCACTCGGCATTTCTACAACCGCTCACGGTTTTCTGTCCCTGTAGATCTGCCTGTATGATTGGAGCTACGCTGTACAACACACAGCCTTTGAGTCACTCACGTAATGCATTTGAGTTTCTGTCCTTACTGTGTGTGTCAGTAATTGTTTCTTTTTTATTTCTGGGTATAGTTGTTCATATGTAAATGTACCAAAGTTTTTGTTTGTTTTGTTTGTTTATTAATTTACCAGTTGAACATTTCTGTCTCCAGTTTAGGGCAATAAAAAGGCACTATAAACGTTCACTTATTTATATGAACATAGGTTTTCATTTCCATTGTTTAAATACAGAGGAGTGGGATTGCCTTGATCATATGGTAAATGGGCGAATAATTTATAAGAAACTACCAGGCTTTTTCCCACAGTGGTGGTACCATTCTCCATTCCCCAAAGCACTGTTTGTGACTTATATTTCTTCTGCTTATTGTCAGTTTGGTTTTAAGTATTTGAATAAGCGTGCATACGTATCTCATGGTGGTTTTAATTTACAATTTCTTAATATCTAAATATATTAAGCATCTGTTCATGTTCACTTATTTACCATCTGTAACTATTTACCATTTGGTAAATGTGTGTTTAAATATTTTGTCTGTTTTTGTAATTGAGTTTTCTCCTCACTGAGATATGAGTGTTCCTTATTCTACTTATAACCCCTTTATGTCTTAGGTACTTTGCAAGTATATTCTCCTGAATGTGGCTTCTCTTAAAAGTGTCTTCCAAAGAGCCATTTTTAAATTTTGATGAAGTTCATTCATCAGTTTTCTTCTTTTATGTATCATACTTTTATTGTTGTATCTGTAATTTTTTTCCTAGCCCAAGATTACAAAGATTTTCTCTTGCGTTTTGTTTTAGAATTCTTATAGTTGTTATTTTTACATTTAGGTCTCTGTTTTTAATTAATTTTTGTTTATAGTACAAAGTATGGATCAAGACTCACATTTTTTGCATATGGATATTCATTTGTTCCAGTACTGTTTTTGAAAAGACTGTTTTAAAAATATTTTTCTTTTGAAAAGTACAATACATTGATACGATTTTTGAAAATTCAAACATTGTAAGTGTTCACAGTGAAAATTTGTGTTTTTCTTAACTCTGCCCCCAGTGCCTCTCCTCCAGAGGTAGCCACTGTTACCACAGAGATTTCGTGCATGTACGTGTCTTTCTGCTGCTGCTACTTTCTAGTAGTTATCCTGTTAAAAAGTTTAGCTCCCCCCTGGCTGGTGTGGCTTAGTGGATTGAGCACTGGCCTTCCAAGCTAAAGGTCACTGGTTCAGTTCACCATCAGGGTACACGCCTGCCTGGGTTGTGGACCAGGATCCCAGTTGTTGAGGGGGTGGGAGAGGCAAACTGATGATTCTCTCTAGCATCGGTGTCTCTCTCTCTCTCTCTCTCCCCCCCCCTTCCTCCCCCCTTCTACCTCCTTTCTCCTCTCTCTCAAAATAAATGAAATCTTTTTTAAATTAAAAAGAAAAGAAAAAGCTTAGTTCCCATGTCGCTGTGCTTCAGAGCCTCACGAGGCTCTCAGCAGTCTGTTTGTATCCTGTGTCTACACGCCCACGTGCACCCTCACACCCTCCTTGCCTGCCTCTCCCACTGCCCTTCCCTCTTCCCTCCTTGCCCTCTACCGTTTTCACACACACAAAGTATGTTCCCACTCCCGGGCCTCTGCACTTCTGAATTCATTTGCCTAAAATTCTTTTTCCTCTCAGACATCTGGTAAAACTTGCTCCTTGCATCCTTTAAGACTTTTCTCAAAGGTCACCTTCTCAGTGAGGTCTTCCCCTGGCACCCAACTTTAAACCGGCAAATTATGTACCCCATCTCCCTGCCATTGTTCCTGCTTTGTTCTTCTCCATGGTTCTCATTACCTACCAATATGCTTCATAAGTTATTTAATTTTGTTGATTGTTTTTTTAGCCGCCTCCCCCCCCCCCCCCCACTGGAATATAAGCTTTATGAGGACAGGAATTTCGGGAGGGTTATTCTGTTGCTTCCTCTCATGCCCAGAAAAATGCACTTAAATATTTATGGAGCCTGAAGGCATGAAGATGTCACTCAATACTGTTTTTACTCAAAGTATAGATGAAAACAAAATTGTGATTTTCCATAACTTATTTATTCATATGTATATAATTTTATTGATTTTATTCATTATATATAATTTATTTATATATGTGTGTAGTGCTCTTTTTAGAAATTACAAATTTCCTATGTCTTTGACTATTTCAGAAAGTTTACTTAGGTTGGACTCAACTTCCAATTGTGACTGTACACTTAAGTACATAGGAAAATGTGTTTTGAGATGTAGAAATTTCCCTTAGATTATAGAGACTAAATTTCATCTAGGTAAAAAGATGTTACACTTACATAGATTGAGGCAGCATGTATGTCCTAAACTGGCAAATTCTGTTCTGAACTTTACCACTGAATTTGATAGTGTTCCAAGACAAAAACTTCTGTGCTGCTTATTTTGGCACAGATTTGCCAGCTGGAAGCAGAGGAACTTTGGCCTTGCTCCCCTCGTGTGGTGTGATGAGAGCACAGGCACCTGTCCTCTGTGGAGAGGGTGTAGTTCATGACTCAGCGAGCTGTGGCGATGTGGTTGGAGCGAGAATTGAAAGGAATAACTGTTCACAATATGGAGTTGGATTTGAGATGCTTTATTATTTACAGTTTATTCAGTCCTTAGAGGTCCTGAAAGTTTTTTCTTGGTGGCTTCAGCACTTGCAATAACTGCCTGTGGCCCTTAAAATAATCCCAAACTCTGAAGTCAGTACTTCTCTTACTTCAGAGTACTCCTCATAGGTTAGCAAACACTAGAATTTCCTGGAGCACTTGATTAAAATAAAACACAGATTGCCAGGCCCCAACCCCAGAACATGTGACTCCATGGGTCTGAAGAGGAACCCAAAATATTACATTTTTATATATAAAGGTCCCAGATGACACTGATACTACCACCATTTGGGGACCACACTTTGAAAATCACACAAATAGGATGCTTTTGAAAACCCAAGATACTTACAAAAAACCTGTTTCATCATAAGGAAACTTCACGGCAGGGGCCAGCAGCGCTAAGGGAACGCACACTATGTTTTGTTCTTTCATTTGTCATTACGGAGCATTCTGAGACTCCAAACAGAAAACAGGAAGCTCTGCTGGGGTGTTCAGATGAATATCACAGCCAGCTGAGGTAAAGTGGCATAGCTGCAGCCCTCTTTCAATTCTAAAACTAGAATTACAGACTTTAAAAATCATCTGTTAGCTCTTGTGGGTGTGGCTGGGTTGGTTGGGCCTCCTCCTGCAAACTGGAAGGTTGCAGGTTTGATTCCTGGTCAGGGCATGTACTTGGGTTGTGGGTTCAGTACCCAGTCGGGGCACATGCAGGAAGCAACCAGTTGATGTTTATCTCTCTCTGTTTCCTCTCTGCTCCCTAGAATCAATAAAACAAAAAAAATTTAATCTGTTGGCAAACATGAAAAATCTGAAACCCCTGTATCCGTAGGTGGAGCAGGTGGACCCTGACCTCTGGGATTCAATTTGTCTCATATCTGGTATCTTAAGATTTATAGTACCCTTTATTTTAAATGGCAGGTTTTTTCAATTAACATAAAATTTTCTATGATAAAATTTACCTTAACTTTTGAGTTACTGAGTTTGGTCATTTATAGTAAGTTCATTCATGTGACTAAAAAGTACTTTGGCAAAACCTTTAAACTCTTAAGTTCTCACAAGTAAGTTGCTGTGTATATATGTCAGTCACAGCATCAAGATAATAACCTTATTATTATGAACAGGAAAAAGTTATATTTCCTAGTAACAACTGATTCTTTAAGACAAGTTTGAATAAAACAGTCTGTCAAGGAAGTGAAACGTAAATGACTGAAAGCTGGCCAAAGAAAGGGTTAAGTGGAATGAGATGTTAGATGCATTCCCCTTTAAAACTGAATCTTGTCTCTCCAAACTAACCCTTACATCTTTAAGCATAGTAAGTCAGGTTGAAGTCATTAGGAAACATGAATAGCATCTTGTAAGTGCTAATAAAAGTCACTGTTGGAAAGTTATTTTAAGGCATCCATAAACTGGCAAAAACAGAATCAGCTCTTTCAGAACTCTGAAGTCTAATCCAAGACTTATCAACCAGGGGACTGCTTAATTAAGAAAAGGGCAGCTGATTGGGGGCATTTCAGGAGGTCACTGGCTGACCACTGAGATGACAGAACAGACTTTAGTGATCACACTTGACAAGGAATACAGTGTTTGTGAAATGGTTTGGAAAAAGCCACAAAATGGATGGCTATAGCCCTAAACAATCAACAGCAACAAAACCTGAGGTGGGGGAGAATCAGATTTCCACTTACCATATTGTAATGTCCAGCTTTCAAAAAAAGTTACACAACATACACAGATGACGGGAAAGAATGGCCTGTTCTTAGGGGGAAATAGAACAGCAGAAGCTTGCCCTGAGGTGAGGGGGCCCAGATTTTGGACTTAGTAGGCCGTGGCACATTTAAGACAGTTGACTTAAAGTCTAAGAGCTAAAGGAAAACAGGAAAATGATGTATAAACAAAATTATAATACCAATGAAGAGAGAATTTATAAAGATGTAGTTAGATGTGCTAAATTGTACCTGCTAAAACTGTTGAAGGACTTAATACCTCCAGGGCATGTTTAAAAAAGCAAAAGATGAGGCACTTGGAGGCTGTGTGTGCTGGTGTGACCTGAGTTAAAGTAGGCCTGTTAGGAGGATGTCGCAGGAGTTGGGTTCCTGTTGACCTGCCATGTATTGGCTGATTTGTTTTGGAACAGGAGCCAAACCTCCTGTCCTTAGTTTCCTGCTCTGTGAAATACAGAGCATTGTTCTACAGACACACAGGGAAGACCCAGTGAGAGTGCACAGCAGTGCTGAAATTGTGGGGCATCCCCTGCGTTCGTCCTGCAGAGGAACCAACAACCTAATGATTAAAAAGGAAGAGAATGTTCATTCATATCCATATAGAGATATGAATAAACTAGGTAGAGATATATGCTCTCTAGTTCTCCATAGAGGCTCTGTGCCACTTAAAGAACCCTGCAGATGTCAGCAGCTGTTCAGGTGATCGTTTCGCCCAGAGGAGGAATTGGAATTCTGTTACTCTGTCACCAATTAGGTCTTTTATTTCTCCTTTCCCAGAATTTTACCATTTTCAATATCACTAGAAGACAACCTACAACCCTCACAAAATCGAGACTGGATGAGCTTGGTCCTCTGTGTCATACGATCATTAACAGAAAGTTCTATGAAATAGTGACGCGTGTGCAGTCAGCTGGTACATGTTCAACCAATAACACACATGCACCAGCTTCTTGTGAAAACCATTAGTCAGGAGAGGGACAGCTGTTGAAAAGCAGTTGTACTGATGCCACTGGGAAACTGAAGGTTATCTCTCATTAGTTAATTTGAAAGAAAGGCACAAACAAACAAAATCCCAGCCTAATTCTCAAACTCTGGTGGTCAGTATTATCTGTCTAGAACAACAGTTTCCACCCCAGTTCCTCACAAATAATTAAACTAAGTTTCATTTCCTTTTCTTTCATTTATTCTCTTGGTCCAAAAGTTCGCAGTGAAAGGACCAAAGCTAACAGCAGCCCAAGGAGTAGCGGCAAACATCAAGGCTGATTGCACTTAGTAAAACAGAGACTTTCCAGTTAGCACCTTCTATTTAAGTAACACCAAAAAATCCACCTTAACAAAATCGACTTAGGATCTGTTTATTGGCCTCCCTGAAGGATTCCTGGAAACATTCCTTTCATCATTTAAAAATACTCAATTTACAGAGTCACTTTACATGAAGTTTTTCAGCAATAGGACTTTCCCACAAAATGTGGTCTTTTGCTTTGAAATGCCTTTGATATTTTGGAGAAAATATTGTAAGTTTCTGGTGAACTGTTCTTTGTGTTTACTGTTACTGTGCAACTTTGCTTTTCTTTATCTCCACCTCCTAAAATTTACATTGTATTCTCTTTGGGGGTAGGTACAGAATTTTCACAGCTGCATTCAGGTAACTGAAGACTTTGTGTCTCCGGAACATCTCGTACAGTCATTTCATTTAACACAGGAACTGAGGCTTTTGAAGGATGAAATCAACTATGATGATAAACTGCAGGTGAGAGCGGCCATGTCGCAGGTTTTTATACTCAGAGCTGTGATACGTGCACACCAGCTTGGACAGTCACAGCCTCGTTTGTCAACTTAGGGTAATGGCCAGAGATTGGCATCAGTAAGCACCTAACTGTATAATTTTTAGTGGTCCTGATTTTAGCTTTTGGTTTAATATTTTTTAACACTGACACTTATTTCTCTTGAATTTGACTTTCCTTTAAAAAATTATTTTAATGCAACAGTTTTCATTTATTATTTCATCTCCAGCTAAAGTGAGTAGAAATCCTAGCATAATTCTAAAACATCTCTTTCAGGTTAAAAACATCTTATATCATGCAGTGAAGGAAACGGTGAGAGCTTTGAAAATACATGAAGATGAAACAGAGGATATGGAAGAAAATTAGGTGCGTTCCATCCAGTTCGCTGTTTGTGCACCACTGGAGTGGGATGACTTCCTCTTGAATGATGATATACAGATGTACCCTGACTTAAACTTCATAAACCATCAGTGCCAAGAAATTCTCTCTGTAGTAATTACTTGTTACTGACACCACGGCAGTATAGCATCAGTCGCAGCTCCTATGAGTAAATGTTAGTTATTAAAACAAGCTACATTTAAAAAGCAGCACTTCGTAGCTGTTTTTTGTATTATAGTGTATATGATGTTTGTGAAAATGCCAGATTTAAAATGATGTATTTATTTTTGGAAAAAAATACGAAATTCTATGCTATATTGTTGATCAAGTGTAAATGTGACCTTGTACAGTTTACTAAAATAACCGATATTTTTCACTACATTGAGACAGTTACTGTGAGAATAGGACACGAACACCAGCTATCGCCTGCATTTGGGAAATTGCTGAATCGCACAGCATTCATGTCATAATCAGAAAATTACTGCCAAATAATTGTAAAAATTGTAAAATATAAAGTATATAAAGCAGATACTAAATACAGACACTTCAATATTTTGTTGAAGCTATTGACTGTACAATTAAACATTTTCAAAAGGTGTAATTTATTTAAAATTGTCTCATTTTGCTAAAAATTTATGTGAACTTTTAAAGCTAAATATTAAACTTAATATGCTATGTAAATATATACATATATACATTTAATGATGTATTTTTTTAAAACATTGACTTGCTTTTATTTGTTAAGTGCAAGTGTTACATATGGCTTTGTACATTCAAGTTGAAAGGGGTTTTACATTTTTCATTAAAAGGACTTTATCAAAAATGGGCTGGCTTCTTCATAATCCAGGTGGTTTATCAGCATTTTCTTGGGACATTGTGCTCTTTGCTGAAACATTTCCCCCATGGCTTTTATTCTTAGCAGCTTTTTTCCACTTTCTTCAGACTTTATGGACTGTAACACCTAGGTGCCTCAGCTTACTTGTCCTAATGGCCCAACTGAAAAGAAGACAGGGAGCTCCATCGCTTGTCATTTATGAACACATTTAATTGAAAACAGAACCCCCACGTTAATTTTAAAAGCTGCGATTATGAGAATATGCCCTTTCAAATCAGTTTTCACAGCAGAGATAGCTGCCAGTAACTGTTGAGGGTTGAAGGAAGAGCCTGAAGTTGGTCCGTCTGGATTGAATAGTGTTTCTACTTTCTGTGTGACCTTGATAAGTTGCTTTAATTTGGAGTCTTGGCTTTAATAGGTGACTGCTGTTAACCACTGAATTGTTTGAGGGTCACACAGTCCTACCATTTGAATTTTACTGAAAATATCCAGCCCTCCATTGGCATCTGCAGAATATTGAGGAAATCGCCTTTTTTCTTTTTTATGAATTTATTGTGGTGACAGTCACAAAATTGCACAGTTCTACAACACACCATCTGTACACTATTGTGTTCTCCATCTCAAGTTGGCTCTCTACCAGCCTTTTCTTCCCATTTAGGAAGCATACTTGAAAAAGTGGGAAGCCCACATTGTAACCTTGCAGGTTGCTTAGTTTTTATGTGTTACGTCCACTGTCTTGGCTAATGGGATGGATGACAACTGTTGTCTAAGGGGGGAAGTTAGGCTGATGAATAAACAAGAACTTTCTTTTGTAAATTTCAAACTTTTTTTTGGCTTTGTGATCAGTATATTAAGGAGATACATACTTTTAAAGAATGTTTGAATTCTGGTATCCACATTTAAGCTTGTAAACATGACAAACATACAAGTAAAACTTCATAATCTCTACTACTAAGATTATATTACAGTTACTTCGGAGCACAAGTTAAATGGTTTAAGCCTTTAACATACTTAAAAACAGTGTTGCAAGCCCTCAAAA